GGGAGCTACTTCCAATATAAACTTGTGTCACCTCTGAATCATGCAAGTGCATTTATATGGGGCTAATATTGTACCTTGTTTACATAATGCTTACTTAAATGCAGATTATGGAGATTCTGAAGGTGATCAAAAGGGAATTAACTGGCGAGTCTACCAAGCTAGTAAAATCATCTTCTGCTTAAGGTAATTTTTCTTCTGCTATAGTATAGTTTTCAGTGGGTGATATGCATAACTTTTGGTTTTATTGTTGTTAGCTAGAGCACCCTCTAAGACAAACTTTATGGGAATGTCTAATTATCGATATGTATATTTGCTAAACACTAAATTGCTACTATTTGTTACTCTTTCTTTTCCACTTTATGTAGCACTCTTTACTTTTTTGGTTGTTCTGAAAAGAATGACACAAGTTCTAGCTGTATGGTATGTGCCAAAAGTCTTCTTTTCGTTTGTTAAACTTCATTCCCAGTCAAACATCGCTATATGAAAATGAATGGAGGGAGTATTAAAAGCATTTGCTGAAGATTAAAACTTTTAATTAAGCTATTCATTTTGTTATATTTGACTGTAACATTTATCATGTATCGTCTTACTCCTGCTCAAGAAAAGGAAAAGAACCTGAGTAAAATAATGGGTTTTTATTAACCGTGTTCCATTATTCTTCGGGGATTCTCCAACAAAACAAAGAAACTGAAAAAGAAAGGAAAACGGCTGAGTTACGAAAAAAATTTGAAGGTTGAGAAAACTAGGGCTTATGAAGAAAGGACTCAAAGGAGTGATCTTGAAAGGCTGCTTTAGAAAATTTTAAAAAGAAAACACGAAAAGAAAAATCAAAGTGAGTTGGTGAAATCCGAGTATGAAGATGTTAGAAGCAACTGGTGGCAGAAAGAGAAAAGGCGTGCAGATTCAGCACTCAGCAGTGGCGAAAGCCATAGAGCAAAAGAATCTTGCAAAAGCTAACTGCAAAATGGCTATTGATAAAACATGTTGTTCTGATGATTTGTCATAGCCATTTGGATCAAGATAGAAAATAAATTGAAAATTCTGAGGAAGTGAATTCTTCATTTGGTAAATTGGTGTACACACCAAAAACAGCTAGCTTGTTGCAAGACATTGCAATATATCTTAGGATATCTTTTAACTGTTTCTTTCATAAATCAATCTTTCTTTGACTCATGTTTCTTTTGTTGAACAGATAAAGAGTTCGATTCCTGGAATTTTCGCATTACTCCATCCTGGCTGGTACCAATTCAAAGTACAACACGAAGGTAGAAAAACAGATTTTAGTTAGTGACACAGAAATGTATTACCTTTTTGTAGCAGCTTGAAATAGGGAAAGGATTATGAAGTTTCAACTGACCGGGCGTGTAGAGGGGATCCCTAGTTAGTTGTGTATATTCTGTATCATCAGTCAGGAAAACCAAACATCTATAGCTGCAGCTGTGAATTTTTTAGGTACATTTTGTTAGCTAGCTTGTGTATATAGAGATACAGAAGCAAAATGTACAGACTACTTTGGCTAGTTAAATTTAACGGAAATCCATGTGTTTATCATCTTTCTTTCATTGTCTTTTCCTATTGAATATTTCAATTCTGAAACTGGCGACTATTTGTTGTCGACAAATCAGTTGAATTCTTCCTTGCTGCCCATTGATAGTGATTTAAAATAATTGCTTAAACTTTTGTAGAATTTCATTGTTATTGAGTCATTGTCAATTTTTTTCTTTTTTCATTTTGAGATGTTTCAAAATTTTTGATACGATTTTACTTTTAATATTATCTGTGTACAATTTTCACAATTTTCAAAAACTTCAAATTCAGTTTAACTGTTTAAATTTTATGCTTTGATATGATAATTATGTTTAATCAAACAATTTTTTCTATCATCAATTCAATATGATTAACTTTTAGGTATGTTTCAAAGTTTATTCTTAGTAAAAGGCTTTTCAGATGTCTGATTCTTTAGTAGAAACGCCATCAGTAGTCACTCTAAAGTACTCCTATTTAGGAATTAATCAGTGCATTCTGAATTTTAGTTTTTCAGTTCAAATTTTCAGGACAAAAACGTTTTGAGTAGTCCTGAAGTTAAGATTTTTAGCTTATAGTTTCAGAATAAAAAAAATAATGACTAATCTCTAAATAGCATCCCTGAGAATGACTATATGTGCACTTGCCCCGATTCTTTCTTATTCATCGTACGAAATTTTGCTCCTTTTCGCTTATCCATTAAATGCATCATATATGCCTACTTTACCCAAATCTCTTATACTTAAATATAGTTAATTGATGTGTATTTCCTTCACGATATTAAATATAGGCATAATGACTTCCTGACCATTTAAACTTGTAGAACTTTTTAAAGCCGATACATGAACTTGCACTTTTTTCATTTGAACACTCCAACTTGATGCAATGGATACTAATAAACACATTTGACCGTTGACTATGCCTATGTGGAAGCAGCGCAACTGACATGGCTAAATTGTGTGAAAATCACGCTGCAAAGGCGCGTGAAATGTATTGTTTTTATTTAAAAAAATATGAGAATCAAAATAAAATATAAATGAGACAAAAAAGAAGAAGAAAAAAGAGACCTTTCCCTTTCCCCTTCTCTTTTCCCCTCCCTCCCACCTTTGTAAGTAACTGTCACATACATAATTAAGATATCCTCATACCCTCGATCGACTTCAGTCACATACTCTCTTTTCTTTCACGTTCGGTCTAGGGTTCCCCAATTTCTATTTCTTTATTTTAGCTTTTTTACTGTAATTCGTTTTGGTCCAGCTTCAATTCAATAAGTTGAATAATACTCCAAATTTCTATAACCTTTGCTCTATATATATTAGCGCTTTTTATTTAGGTTTGGGAGGTGAAAAAAGTAAAGAAGAAAGAGGGTGGTGTTCGATGGATCAGACGTGGATCCCAGATATTTGATCTGGGTCAATGATTTATTAACGAGTTTTTTCTTAGGGTTTTGGCTGGTTTAAGAGTTGATTAATAAGATTTGATTGATAAAAGTAAAGCTGAGAAAGGAGTTCACCGGAGAGGTAGCCGACAGTGACGGAGATGCCAGAGATGGCGGTGAGACGGAGGTAATCGAGGGTGTTGAAATTGGCAACAGTCTTAGTAAAAGGTGGGTTTTGATCTATAACTGAGTATTCCGACTTTGCCGATGTTGTTATGCCTGTGTTCATCTTCCCTATTAGCAGATGCTCTTTTGGCCAGTCATCGGCGACGGGACACTAAGATGGGTTTTAATCAAAAATGCAAGTGTCAGTAGTTGTATATGTTCGTCTATAATTGTGGGTGACTAATTAAATCCCTAGATAACCTTGAATATACAGGTGTTAACAAATGTGAATGAATGGATGATGTGGCTATACAAAATATTAAACTAAGTCCGTGTCAACAACAATTGAACAATACACACCATTACAAGTGTTTATTAGTAGCCATTTTTTCAAGTAAAGATGTTCAAATGGGAAACCCAAGAGTTTATATATTGGCTTTACAAACTGATGCAAGTTTAAGTGGTCAGGAAGCCATTTCGTCTTAAATATAATATAAGATAATAAGAATTTTAATACTTATACATAAATTTGTATACATCATGTAAATGTATACATCGTACTCTTCGCTTCTTCAAATTTCCCCCTTTAATAACTCGTCTCATTATGAATTTCATCTCCACTAGCAACATAGCGGTTTTAGTAAATGGGAGTGCCACAAATTTTTTTAGTCCTAATAGGGGAATTAGACAAGGAGATCCACTATCCCCCTATATTTTTATCCTTTGTCTGGAAATGCTCTCTCGTATGATCTCCCATAAGGTTGATATACTTTGTTGGGACCTCGTTAGTATAAAAAATAAAAGTTCACCCATATCTCATCTCTTCTTTGCCGACGACTTAACCTTGATTTCTAGTGCTAATAATAAAAGCTGTGCCTGTATCTCATAATGCTTAAATCTTTTTTGTTCCTTATAAGGACAAAAAATAAATTACACCAAGTCCAAACTTATTTTTTCTAATAATTCCCCTGAAGATACGGCAAAACATTATGCCAATCTCATTGGACTTAAAATATCCACGAATTTTGGAAAGTACCTTGGCTTTCCTATGCTCCAAAAATACCCCAAACCAAAAGATTTTCAATTTGTTATTGATAACATGCAGACAAAGCTTGCTAATTGGAAATTCAATTTTCTCAATATCACGGGGAGAACTACTTTAGCCCACTCTACCCTTAATGCCATCGCTAACTACATTATGCAATATACTTTGCTTCCCACAAAGATCCATAAGCAAATAGACAAAATTCAATAGGACTTTATCTGGGGATCTACTAAAGAAAAGAAAAAGCTTCATCTTATCAATTGAAAAGCCGTCACCACCCCTAAAGAATTTGGTGGACTTGGATTAAGGGCAACAAAAGATAAGAATTTAGCTCTTTTAATAGGTCTCTCTTGGTGCTTAATCTCTCAAATCAACTCTCCTTGGGCCAAAACTGTTACGTCCCATGTTTTCGTACGTGAGAATATGTCGTAAGCCAATTGATGTAAGCTCGGAAATGAGATCATTTTTGAAAGTACATAACGTAAGTTCATGATTTTATCTTGGAGGTTACAAATCTTTAAGATCATGAATAACAAGTACCAAAAGGGTTGGAAAGCTTAGACGCTAAACAAAATGAAGAAAATAAGTTTCGTTGAAAGTCGACAAGTTTGGAATGTTAGAACATATACTTTTGGGGTGAGACTAGGGTGATTAACATGATAAGTAAATTAAGTTATGGGTTATTTTAGTCGTATGATAGTCGTGTGTTATGTTTCTAAATCAAGCGAGTTGTGGAACAGAAGTTGGCAAAGGTCATCACAAGTTGCATTTATAATGTGCTGAAATTTAGGTCAAATGTAGATGCAAGTTTCTCCCAATATACTTAGAATGAAGGGATGATCTACATATCAAATTGAATATCTACGAGTCTAGTTTCTAACTTATTAAACCGTTTGTCGATACGATATCGGACTAGAGAGATATTCGCGTTTTTGCGAGACTGCGCCAAGCAGCTCTCTATGGGGCCCACATAGGCGGTTTAAGACATATGGATATATATAAGATGCCTCATCCCCGTTTTAAGTCATTATTTTCACTATATTCAGACCTTAGAACCTTAGAAACACTCTCTCAAGGTTATCTCATGATCCAAGACCCAAACAAATGGCAAACTACACAAATCAAGTGTCGGGAATCCTGTGGCGCTAGTAATTTTCTTGTTCTTCTTGTTGTTGTTGATTTTTGGGTGGTTCCAGCTCGTATGGGAGGTTTTTTAAGTGGTTTATGTTCTGTAAAATACTCTCCCATGGTTTTCATATCAACCCTAGGTTATTTCAAGTCTTGCAAATGGATTACACCATATTTCAACATCAAAAGTGGAGAATAACACATCTTTGAGGTTGTTTTGTCATTGAGGATAGTTATGGGCTGTTTTATGCTGAAATTTCAAGTTGTTTCTATTGGCTAATGTAAGTATAACAACCTAATAATTTTTCTTAAGCTTGCTTGTTTGTTGGTTAAGTTGTTAGGATGATAAACTACAAGATAATACTTGGATTAGCTTAAGTCACTTCTATGGTGTTGTATTGCCATTGAGGGTTGTTGTAAGCTAAATATAACTTGGATTTTGACCTGAAGCTACTGTAGGAAGTATGTGTATTGTGTTCTTTCAGGTGCTTAAGGTTATCTTGATGTTTATTAAGTTAAATGATTAGACTAGACATGAACTAGTGAATAAAGTTTCTAATTGAAGATAGTTGGAGTTGTGGATTGTTTCATTTGCTATAAATAAGTGGTATAAGGTTGGAATCATTGATGAACTAATTCATTATCATGTTAATGGTGTTGTTAAGTTAATATAAAAAGTCTATAAGGGGTGATATGGGTTATACGGATTCTAATCGGAGCTTGCCGCTAGTCGTGAAGTAGTTATGACTTGTTGTTGTTATATGGTGTCTTGTTATTGATATTTATATGTTGATGGATTTCTATGGTTGTTTTTGTTGGTACATGGTATTGGAGGAGGCCCTTGTTGCATGGGAGATGCTGCCCGAATTTACGTAAACGAGCTACTAGATTAAGTTACAGACTTAGCCTTTGCTCAGCAATGATTTTGAATCTCCTTATACTATGATAAATTGAGTTGACTTGTTTGAAGAGTTGCTTGGAAGGAATGAAGGATTCAATGAGTTTAAGGTATGTTAAGTCACTTCCTTCTTTATTTTGGCATGACCTAAAGTGAAATGAATACACTATTTCATAACGGATCTACTCCTAGCAACTAAGGTTGTCCATGTTGTTCTTTCCTTATAAAATTATTCTAAGCAACTGTGTATGATCCTTGAATCCTACTGAGGTTCATATTGAGGGTATGGATGTCCATAATGTTCTTTAGTCACTTTAAAAGGTTTAGAACGTGATTCCATGAGTCTAGCATGCATTATATATAATATCTATTTTACTCTACCGAGCCACGCTATAGTCGGCCGGGTACGACACCTATTATGCAACCACTGATCAGTTGGGTTTACCGAGCTCCACATGGCCGGGTATGATTCTACCGAGCTTTATGATGGCCGGGGTACGTTTTTACCGAGTCCTCTTTGAGGTCGGGTACGATATGATAATGATGATGCCCACAGAGGCGTATGTTTTTAAAAGTTTATGTATATACATGTATTATGCATTTCATGTCAATAGCCCCCAAAGGCACTCACATGTTACATGCTGTATATCCTCTATCTCTCTTTATATTAATGTTCTTGTTTATGTTTTCCTGCCTTACATACTCGGTACTTTAGTTGTACTGACATTCCTTTTGCTTGGGGACGCTGCGTTTCATGCCCGCAGGTCCCGATTGATAGGTTGACAGTCTTCCTAGTAGGCTATCAGCTCACCGGAGGTGTTGGTGCACTCCACTTGCTCCGGAGTTTCCTATTTGGTCAGTTGCTTTGGATATGTATTGATTGGTATGGCGGGGCCCTGTCCCGACCTTTATGATTTTATGTACTCTTAGAGGCTTGTAGAAAGATGCCAGGTGTATGGATACTTATTTCGCCTTGTCAGCCTATGTTTTGAGCTTACAAATGGTCATGTCGGCCCGTATGTCACATGTATAAGTTTGTATATCATGCTGGGTCGTCATATGTTGAGTATTCTTTTATGTTTTATTCTTGTTATCTCATGACGGGTTTTCTGGCTCATTTACTCATGATAGTATGATAAGAAAGATATGTTACGTCGGTACTCGGTTGAGTAAGGCACCGGGTGCCCGTCGCGGCCCTTCGGTTTGGGTCGTGACAAAAACACCGGCCTGCTCTTATTCCACATGCAAGTCCACAACCTCTACCTTTCTGTATGGAAAAGTATTCTCAAAGGTTGGTATTATTGTAACAAAGGCATTCTTTGGCTGCCTAAAAATAACTCTGACATAGATATTTGGAATTCCAGATGGCTACCATCTATGTCTTGCCTTAAAAATTGTATAGAGAGATCCCTCAACAAAGGTGATCTCTCCATCAAAATAAATGACCTTTGTCTTAATAACATCTGGAACCTAAACAAGATATCTTTCCAACTCCCAGACCCCATTCAAAAAATGATTAATACCATCTATCCCTCTAAACCATAACTCCAAAGATATTTCTATATGGGAAAATAGTGAAAGTGGTTGTTTCACCACGAGCTCTTGCTACACCCTCATCAATAATTTTTATCATAGTGGAAACAACTTCAAATGGATTTGGAGCATCAACTGCCCAAACAAGATCAAATATTTCCTATGGCAGGTTTTCTACAACAAACTTCCCACCAGATCCTACTTAGCTCGTATTGGTATCAATATTGACAAACACTGCACAACATGTCACGAGGCAGAAGAGACTATAGAGCACATCTTTTTGTACTGTCCACTCGTTCTCAGGTTTTGGCAAACTTTAGGTGTTCACCACATACCCCTCAACACAAATCTCCATTGGCTCCTCACTATTAAAAACTTGAATCATAGTTTACCCGCTCTCCCGATTACATGGGAAGGCTTTTTTTGTTTTTGCCATCTGGGGCATCTGGCTTAGCAGAAGCAACAACCTCCACAACAATACAACCCTTTATTTGAAAGACAATACTATGATAAATCATGCTTTAGAATACAAATTCCTAGCCGAAAATGAACCCAACATGCACGCCCAGAAAAAAATTGTAGTATATTGGCATAAACCACCCAGAAATTGGTACAAGTTCAATATAGATGGTGCTTTTAAAAAAGGATCAGCCGTTGTAGGGGGAGTCTTCCGAACTAGCTCGGGAGACTGGAACATGGGCTTCAACCAACAAGTCCATGTTATGACCATCCTACACTCAGAACTCCTAGCCCTCCAATCAGGTCTCACTCTTGCTAAAGAGAATGGATTCTACCCAATCGAAGTCGAAACTGATTTCATTGAGGTAATACAAACATTATCAACAGATCATGAAATTTTTAACGATGTGATAAATATTCTTGCAGGTTGTTAATGCCCCAGAAGAAGGAGGAGATACTGACCAGACATAACTTTCGTCAAGGAAACATGGTGGCTCACATGTTAGCCAAGGAAGCCTTTAATCAGTCCAAAATCAGGAAAATATCAATTTTTGCTACTCCACCACCTTTCGTTATGCAGCAACTATCTCTAGATAAACTAGGTTGTTCTCCTTTTGTTAAACACCTCTCAGAAGGTGCATGTAATTTGTTAGCAAGTTATGGGAACTTATGTGTCCTTCATGAGGCACAAATTGTCTGTAATATTATGAACAATATTTAGTAGTATTACTATAAGTATCTACCTTCTCAAAAAAAAAAAAAAAAAGAGAAAAGATCGCCACCCATCATTCATAAAAATGTGAGACTGAAAAGATAACAGATTTCAAACATTAGAATAAAAATACTTCAAAAATTCTTAGCCAGAAGTCCTGGTCTTCGAAAAAATAGAAAACAAATTTAGCACATCCCAGCTTCTGACAAAACACTGATGTCTCCATTGAGGCCACTTGCTTAAAAGAAGCAGCTTGCTTCGCATTTAAGATCTTTTTTTCTTTTTCTTGTAACGATAATATTACATTACTTCTGGAAGATTTTTTTTTTTTTTTTTTTTAGTACTAGAGTTTGAGTTGATTTTAGGCATAATAATTTCCATTGCCCATTCAAGGATGTTTGGGGTGGCTCCTCCCTTGTCTTGTGTTGCAACTACTTGTTGTGTAATCTGAACCAAACGTTGCATTGTAATAATGCTGCTGCTGCTGCCTCAGCTGTTTGCTGGCAATGTTTTTGAGATTTGTGGTTTAAATGTGCCAAGTGTGCAAATAAACCATGCCAATTGGCCCTTAATTTTATCCTTAGAAGACATGTAGGATAGTTATGAAAGAAATCACCAGCCTCTTAATTACTACATTAAAGATGGTTGTCAATTCAACAGTGCAAAAAAAAAAAAAGATTAAAAAAAATAAAAATGCAACAGGAAATACAAATTTATTCTTCAACTTAATAGAAGCCAAATTTGGTACGGAAAGGAAATCATATCTAATTCAATAATTGATTCATGTCTCATATTTCCATTTATTGCCCCAGCATGAAACAGTTGGGAGGCTAAACTCCCAACTGAGCCTCCCAACTGATCTGTACTCTTGAGCAACATAGACATATTATAATATCATATGTGTATATATATCAACTCAAAGTAATCACATTCAGTACCTTCACAATCCCAAACAAGACTATTGTACCACCACCAAAAAAGTAGGAGCTAAACACACAAACAGACAAACTCATTAGTACACTATGTCTCACCCTATTTTCCAAGCTAATGAGAACAGCCCTTACGGAGACCTAACAAGAGAAGAGTTTTACAAGCAACAGAAAATCATGCATAAAGAAAGCTTCATGTTAAACAAACAGAACATGAAGATATACACTCAATCTTGGCAGTCTGAATCAAGTAATCAGTTAAGAGGTCTTGTGGGCATGATTCATGGTTATACATCCGAAAGCAGCTGGCTTTTTGAGCTAAATGCAGTAGCAATGGCGAAAGCTGGATTTTTCGTTTGTGCTCTTGACCTACAAGGTCACGGTTACTCAGAAGGCTCACCTGGCTACATTCCAAGTATTCAACCCTTAGTCGAAGACTGCATACAGTACTTCGACTCTGCTCGCGCCAATCACCCGAAGCTCCCAGCTTTCCTGTATGGTGAGTCATTAGGTGGTGCAATTGCTACACTCATATGTCTAAGGCAAAATACTATATGGAAAGGTTTAGTTTTAAGTGGACCAATGTGTGGAGTGTCAAAGAAATACAAACCAGTTTGGCCACTGGAGAAGCTACTACCGTTGGCCGCCTTTGTAGCACCATCTTGGAGGATTGTGATCACCAAACCACCTGGATCTAAATCATACAAGGAGGGATGGAAGAGAAAAATGGTCTCAAAAAGTCCGAATCACATGGCTTCCCANAATCGCGTGGCTTCCCAGAAGCCACCAGCTGCCACTGCATTAGAGCTTCTGAAAGTCTGTGAATATATACAGAGGAACTCGCATGAACTAGAAGTCCCTTTGCTGATTCTTCAAGGTGGGGATGATAAGGTATGTGATCCTGAAGCTGCTACGCTTGTGTATGAATCAGCAGGAAGTAAAGATAAGACTATGAAGATTTTCCCAGGAATGTGGCACCAATTGATAGGTGAACCAAATGAAAGTGTGGAGCTTGTTTTCAATACTATGTTGTCATGGCTTGAGGTGAGAGCAGACTTGGCAAAAATCTAATATATATGATCTTGAGTTATTCAGATGTTTATACGCATCGTCAGAAATTCTCTTTCATGTACACATAACCTACGACCAAAAACTTGTAAAAGCTACTGGCAATTACTGATACTGCCAGAGCCGTTTCTGTCCTACTAAGGTAGTATGCATTTGATAATGTTGTTCCATATGCTTAAATGATGGAACCTTCCTGGCATGATGATAATTGCTTTGGCACCGTTAATTTTCAAAAGTAACTACTACTCAGAATCAGTTATTTCATTTGACTTCCTGCAATAATGGTGAGCTTCTATTTTGACTAGCAAAGACTAATAAACAAGAAATAACAGAAATTGGGGAAAGAAGTGCACTACGATATTCAACTTCGCGATCATTCAGATTCAATGAATCAGGATGTTAAGCAGCTTGATGGTACATAGAATAAAGAAGAATTTGTATGGGTACATATGAGTAATGAAATAAAAAGTATCTCGTCGATTACAACTTAATGGGGAAATAACTAATACACATTAAATAACCTGAGATAGAGAATTAAATGGATAATTTGCTGTGAGGAACAGCTGCATAATTTTTTTTTTATTATTGAGGAACAGCTGCATAGTTTCCAAGCACCATGTCAAATAATTCCCAGTATTTGTTTCTATGTATTCTCTTACCATGTAGTTAGTCGCTCAAAACAAATGCAAGAGGAGAATTTGGTGGAGTCACAGTCTGCTGGGCTGTAACTGCTTATAAGACATAAGTTCTGCTCTGACTTGATCTCTTCTTAATTTCCCTGTTGTTGTCACTGGAAATTGATTTTTCCACAATACAAAATTCTTGGGTATTTTGAACCTGCAAAATATTACAGTACATGTCATCAATATGAATCAGATAACGCGAGGCATCAAGAGGGGGGTGAGATTGGAGTGGAGTATGAGATAGCCTTGCTGCAATCGAATTCCCTTGACCAACATAGAAAAAGAAGAATACCCCGTCAAATTTTTCGCTCTACAGAAGTTCTGGAGGAGAGTGCTGGAAAGACAATGCTCCTTCTTGTTAACCGGATGATCAGAACTGGAATCTGTCCACTGCCAATTGTCTTTGAGCCTAATAGAGGCAATGACCATCTCGGTCAAGCGAGAGTCAGGAAGCCCAATAACAACACTAGCAGATATCCCTGGATGTTGGGATAAGACAGCTTCCACCTGAGCCAAAACAAACTTACTAAATGGATTTATAGGGCAATTACGTTCCTATGGAACAATAAAAAGGAAATCATGGTGTTCCATTACCAAAAATTAATTAAAATATATCTATCATTGGTCATCAAGTAATAAGATTTCAAGTAGGCAGTTCTCTTTGTGATGGTAGCTCAATGGAAACGAAGAAACAAAGGAATTAAAGTCTGGATGCTTGCCTCTTCCGGATAAACATTCTCGCCCCCACTCTTTATTCGACCCTTCAAACGCCCAATGAGCCAGACATTTCCACAATCATCTATATGCCCTATATCACCAGTGTCAAGCCAACTTTCATCAGTTGGAGAAGAATTCTTGCTTGGCATTTGACCCCAGTATCCAAGCATTACATGGGGTCCTCGTGTCAAAATCCTCCCTATACAAGATGAATCATCCCCAGCAATCCTTATTTCAATATGTGGAGCAGGCTTTCCAACACAGATACCATCTGGTTTATGTGCCAAATTGGAGCTATTGGCACAAGAATTCTGGACACAACTCTCTTTCGTCGGGTCATAAAGAGTCATGAAAGTTAGAGAAGAACATGCCTCGGTCATTCCTAAAGAACAATTAAAGAATGCTTATCAGGAGAGCACGACCGACACAGAATACTCGTGAAGCTAACTATACATAATACATCAAGAAGGTTTAAGGTTAGGACTTGTGCCACTATAAATTTGGAAAGCATAATGTCTAGTGGATGATACATATCATACATCAGGAACACCACTTTAAAACTTGCGATCTCCTGCTATCAACAGAATATTTTGTTCAGAAAGGATAATTTTGGAGAAGATGGAGAAAATATGTCAAGTAGTCACTAAACCAACATACCATAGGCTGAAAGAATTTTAGCCCTTGGGAAAATCTCAATCGCATTTTTGATAAGATCAGATGAAAGACCCCCAGCTCCATTAAGAATCTTCCTCACAGATTTGGACCCTAGAGATATGTGCTTTGTCCTACGACAAGTGAAGGTAGAATCAAATATTTGCACTTATCATGAACTCAGCGGATGTGCTAAATGTCCATAGAGAGAAACCTAGAAAAGAATCAAGCACCACTAGAAACTGGGCAAAAAGAGAGCAAAATTCTTTTAATCTTGATCAGGACATCACAAAAAGTATTCCTTGCAAAATCTAAAGGAGCTAATGTCACAAATTGATATTGGTAGTAACTTCTAAGGAAAAATCCTGATTAACCAATCATATGGATGCCCATACAGTTATTATTCACTTCAACTTTGTTCAAAAGATAAATCCTATTGAAATTCATCTTTGCATCAGGACAGCTGAGTGCTTTACCTATAAAAAGAGATTACATCAGACATCATAGCTGGAACTGTGATAAAAGAAGTAACATTATGCTGCTCTATGGATTCAATAGCCAATTTAGCTTCAAACTTTGGTAGTAGAATATGACAACCTCCTGCCATTAACATGGCCAAGGCTGATGATATACCACCAATGTGGCACAATGGTGCAGTGTGTAAATAGACCTGCAAGAAACCATAACACGAATCAACTTGTACTATATCAAGGTTGATACATTCATATAATGTTTTATCATAGTAGATAAGCATACATCATCCTCACCGTAACCAACAATCGCAATTTTTGCAAGGGATTGCACCACCAAAGCTGAATGGCTTATGGTAACTCCCTTTGGCCTCCCGGTGGTTCCTATTGTCATTAGGAAACAGAAAAAATGATAAATACAAGTCAAAGGACTTACAAATACTCCTTGTACCAGAACAGCAGTTCTATGACTCAACCCACACAACACATTTCTCAGCGGAGCAAATGTTTTGTATGACATACAAAATGACCTTTTCCTTGCTCGTGAATTTTGCTAATAGCCAAAAAACTTCTACTGAGACTAAGAAACAAGATATTTGCCTAATCTGACCCAGATAAAATTTTGAGGGAGAAATTATGTTCCTTAGTTTAAAAAGAGGTTTCCACTACTAGATTTCTCTTAGAACTTCATTTTGTCCACTCCTTCGATGTGAGAGGATTTGAAGATCACTTTTTGGATTAGGGACAAGAAAAGGAACAACAAGAAATAGGCATGTAGAAAGGCAGTTAGCATATACCTGAGGTAAAGCATATTATAGCAGCTTCCTGAGGTGCCCACAGGCAGTCTGCTACTAAATGCCTTTTAAAACTTCGTTTAAGCTGTTTAGTAGTTAATCCTGGCAGATGTAAGAATGATAAATTAACAAACAGAAGAAGAATACTATTTTTTATCTATATTCATTCTGGTCATGAATGCTTTAACACATACCAATCTTAGTGCTATTAACCACACTAGGATTATCCATTAGGACTTTCCACCTCAGAGAAGGCACAGAATCATCATAGGACTCGAACTTCCAGAAATTACAGGTTGCGTCGTGGACCAACATTGTTGGCTTTGCTACCTGAAGAGCTGTTCTTGCTTCTTCCAAGCTCTGCATGCTGAGAACAGTTACTAGGAGAACATGCTTGTATCCGGAACAGTTTCTTCAATCTTATATTATATTGATGCTTTGCTGTGATAGAAAGTATTTAGCCATGATAATCATTTTCGGTTTCCTCAAAGTTAAGTTTACATACGTTTAAACTGTTTACAATCAAGAGCTATGTAACATGGTTTTTTCATATTGAGTAAATCTAAACCATGCAACAGGTATGATATTGGTACTTAGTGCGAATCCTTAAATTACAAACTACTAAAGATTGAAAACTCTTAGGCGCATGCATAGAGGAATAGGATAATGATACTTCTAGGCAACTCCACGTGACACAGACCAAGAAAGAAATAACTGTTACTGATATTGAAATTCACCCATTAATCAAGGAGAGTGAACGCTTAAACTTCAAAAGCCAAAAAAAAAAAAGCAGCACAAAAAGTTGTCTTTCAAAGGGTCATCCTAAAGAAAGTTAATGATGACAGTAGCTGGATATCTGTGCCTTTTTAAATGCAAATATCCAGCTAAAATCAGCACTAATTTTCTGTAGAATGATTTCTCGCCCTAATTATCTTGAATTAGATTAGAGAAAATAAGAAAAAACAAAAAATAGTCTTCAAGTTATGTCAATGGAAGATAAGGGACTAGGTGCTTTGCTCATTTACCCAACGGTAATTGAAAGGTGCAGTAATTCCTCCTACATACGCCACTGCGAGTAACCACTCCAAGTACAGATCACTGCAACAAAAATTGGATGATGAAAAAGAATTCCTAACAATTCAAGAGTAGTTCACTGGCAAATATGATGCAGTCAAAGAGTACCTTATGACTATTCCCAGATATAAATTCATGTTTCACGCCTGTTCTTTTTAATTAGATGGTCAAGGAAGGGGCGGAGATAGAAGCCGGGATACGGTTCGGTCTAACCCATTAACTTTTGCTCAAACAGTATATTTAAATTAAGAATTCATTAAAATGTGATATTAAATTTACAACTCAATTATTAGTACTTGAAGTCATGGTTCTAAAATCCAGAGTCCATAAAGTAGAAATCCTAGCTGGCTCAAGGTGCCTTATCTCATAAGAAAGCTAAGTATCATAAAATAAGATGATAGCATTAAGCAAATTGTTTTGATTAAAATGTAAAATAACAGTTCCCTGCAAACAAATGATTAACAAGCACTAAGCTCATGCATAATGCACCAATAACTTTGAATTTGAAGCTTCCATATACTTTATTATCTTCTCTAACAAAATATACCATCGAAATGTTAAATTTTATTTTTGAAATACCGAATATGTTAACAACTATAGTTAATTATGTAACTCTAACCATCAAAATCAACCTACAAAGAAATAATGTTCAAAGGAGCAAAAGGAGTTCCAACATAACATGCTTTAAGTTTATATGCAAGAGACACCATATGCTGCAACTTTTACTGTTTCAGCTAGGGTACTTTTGTTCAAATTTTATCTCCACAGTAAATAGTGGTTACTTTCCAACACCTTTGCAAACACTGACTACTTTAGGTAAAAATGGCTGTTGCCATGCCATTTTGACTTTATTTTCTGTTATACTTTTCATATTATACTGGGAAGTGGGAAGGGTAAAAGGTACAACCACCTAATGCAATGAAAGTTGTACATTAACAGCTAGAATTAAAATGGCAGCAGATAATAATAAGAACCTGTTAAGAGCAGAAATGGCAACTACATCACCGGGCTTAAGGCCCAGCTGAAGAAGCCCATGGGCCAGGCCCAAAACTCCGTCAACAAATTCCATGCCTGTCTTCCTCCTTTCTCCCATTATCATCACCGTTGAGTTCCGGCCAACTGTCAGCAGCCGGCTCAAACACTGGCAAACGTGGGCCTTCGAGTAATTAGCCATTTCTTTTGAGGATAAATTCGGAATTCCGTAATTTTCCTTAGCGTTTGAGCAAACAAAACAGCAATTTTTTTAGCTTCAGTATTCAGTTTTGCATGTCTCGTTTTTTGAGAATGAGCGATAAGAGTTTCATTTGGGGTTCACTATGTCTTTAAACTAAATGGATAACAATATTCTTTGAGGGTGAAAATACATTGCGTCCATAGCATAATATTGGCCATTTGTAGTTTGGAGAGTCAATTTGGTTAAATATTCAAGTAAATTTTTGAAAACAATATTAAAAAATTATACAATACTTTATTTCTTGATTTTTCTAAGTGAATTGTTCAAACAATGAAGAAAATATTTATTTTTCAAATAATTCTATCATCAAGTTCCATAATCCAAATTTTAGCTCAATCATCACCCATGACGGTCGATAATAACCTGTTTGGCCAAGCTTTTGGAAGAAAAAAAAAATGCTTTTGACGAAAAGCAAAAGCAGTTTTGCAGAAGCAGAAAAAAGTAGCTTCTCTCCAAAAGCACTTTTCTGATAAGCACTTTTGAGAAAAATACACTCAGAAGCAGTTTTCAAAAACTTGGCCAAACACTAATTACTGCTCAAAAGTGATTTTCTAATTAATTAGCCAAACACAAACTATTTCTCACCAAAAGCATTTTTTTTAAAAGTACTTTTGAGAAAAACACTTCTCAAAATAAGCTGATTTTAGAAGCTCGGCCAAACGGGCTATTAAAGTCTCATGATAACAAAAATATATAGTATTATTTTTGAGTATCTCGAGGTTCAGTTTTCAATTAATATTTCGTTGATTAATTATTCCTAATTCACACTCCATATTTTGGATCATTTACATTCTATAAGAGACCTAAGAACTAATCAAATTCAAAAAGTTAACAAATTCACTGAACTTTTTAATCTGAAAACAGAGCACATCTTAAAAATTGCAAGTAGAAATTTAGTACATAGACACCTGAAAAGTGTAAATTTGACAGATTTTTTTAGGAGCCGTTTAGTTGGGAAACAAGTTATCTCATGATTAATTATCTCGGGATTAGTTATCTCACCCTTCATGAGAATAAAAAATACTAATCCCAAGATTAGTTACATCACAATTTTTTTCCAAGCAAACGCGGCATAAACTCGTTGCAATTTAATTCGGAAATTGGTTATACTACTAATAGTTAATCAAGGATTGCACAGTAAAAATTGAAGGAAATTTGCGTGAGAAAATGCCAAAAAAGAGACGTTGAAATTGGATTATTGGTTTATGAGGCGTTGCGGTGTGGAGTACAGTGGCTCTGGCTCATATCCCTACCTTATCCTTTACAAATTATAGGAAGACTGAAACAGAGGAAATCAAGAAGAATTTACAGAAAATGATTAAAATGGTCCTTAATGTATCGGGGTTGGACTATTTTAGTCCTTGATATATACCACATAACAGATATGGTCCTTGATGTATACAAAAAGTGTATGCTTTCAGTCTTCAAAGGTGTTTGGACATAAACATTGTAATTTTTGAAAGATACCCTGAAAATATGAGTAACAATTAAACTTGATTAGTGGTTTTAAAGATATCTGATTTAGTTCAATACCAATTGATAATCAAGAAATATGAAGCAGAAATGAAAGAAATAAGTGAATCAAACCAATGTTACTCAGCAGTAGTGATCTCGAGCTTAGTGGCCTCGAGGTAGGTTTAGAACAATAAGACAATTAAACAAGAAAAATAAAGTAAGAGCAGTAGAGCTAAAGGACATTTCTGATGAACAGTAGGCGAAAAAGTAGAGAATATATTCTTTGCTCAATGATTAGAAGATGTTTACAAATGATTGGGGTCCCCTTTATATAATAGGGGAACCCTAAATAAGGTATATTTCTATTTACAGTAAGGAATATTATTGATACAGCTGTCTAACCGCCTAGTACGAAATTGTACAATCCTATTCCAGGATTTGTGTCACGATCTCGGCTTTGATGTCCATTGTACTTTGATCCTCGAGCATTGCATCCTACCTTTGAGCTCGGATCTGATGCATCGGGCTCGGGCTTAGGACAGACCCTGGAGTCTATAAGTCAGAGGCATGTGACTTTGACCGTACAAATAGTCCCCGCGTTTCTTAGAATAAGATGATAAGAAACGATTTGAACCTCGATTTTCGGAGCCCTTAATGATGACGTCATCCCATGACGTAAGCATCCGAGGTGACCGAAACATCCCATCAGTTCGCTTCCCCATGATATTAAATGAACGCCAGTATTGGTCACCCACTAGCATCGTTGAACCGTCACCGCCCATCTATAAATATAAGGTCTAACCTCTAATAAAGCTTTACTTCAATCTTCAAAACACCTCTGAACCTACTCCATATAAGGCTGGGCATAATTCGGTAAATACCAAATTACCGTACCAAAACCGAAAATTTTGGTATTTGGTTTAAATTTTTTTAAAAATTGGTATTAGATATGGTATTTGATATTTTAAAATAAAATATCGAAATACCGATACCGTACCGAAATATATATTATATTTCACAAAACATATATTATCAATTATAACATAAATATAAAAAATCTAAAATTTTACTTTATTTTCAAAGTTCATCAATTAACTCTAAACAAGTAACACGATATTTGTAATGATCAAATATTCTTTTATGTACAATTTTCTCTATTTGGGTCGACATTTGCTAGTTTTGGACAAAATTTTTGTCAACATTTTTAGTTTTGTATTTTTGAGTACTTCAATTAAGAATATTAGAGTGTATGACTCTATGCACTAGTTAGTATTCAAACCGAATAAACCGAAGTTACTTAACCGAATAAACCGAAACCGAAAGGAGAAAAACCGAACCATACCGAATTTAATTAGGTATGGTATTGGTATAGGATTTTAAGAAATCAAATATCGAAAATACCGAACCGAAATGTCTAAATACCGTACCGTATCGACCGACGAACACCCCTACCTCCATACTTCTCTCTCTTGATCAGTTTCCTTTTATTATCTGCTTCTACCGCCTTCTTAGTGCCGAAAAAATCAAGCTCCGTCGTCTTTGTAACCCAAAATCATGGCGAAAACTTTTAAAATAGTCCCTCAAAAGGAAAAAGCATCATCTTCTTCTACTTCCCGACCGGCCAGCGATAAAGCGCCGGCCCTCCATGAGATTGTTCCAGTCACATGCGTCTTAAAGAAGGACTTCGATGTCGAGAACCCACCTGCAGTTCTTGGCCGATGCGAACATGCATCGAGGTACATCTGCTCGATAAAGGAGAAACATCTCGAGGTTCTGAAAAACGAGGGTGGTTGGGGGGGACGAGGTCATGATACAGATCCCGTCTCCCAAGGAGACCATCACAACTGATGTGGAGGGTTTTTTAAGTGTTTACACTTACCCCTTCATACTAGGTCCCCTCGATGCAATGGTGATTGATTTCTGTAAAAGGTACGAGGTTACCCTAGGTCAGATCCACCCTTCCTTTTGGCGCATCGTGGTTATGCTGCACTATTTTTCTAGCAACGCCAAAGGGCTAGAGTTTAACCTCCATCACCTTATCAGATTGTATCGGCCTCAGCTTTTTCACAGACTGATCAAGCTCCAACGTCGATCCAAGAAAGCCTTCTTTGCCAGTAATGACGAGACAAAAGACCGAGGTTGGATGAGCCGGTTCATCCGAGTGAAGATCTTGGACATCATTCTCGAGGAAAAAATGCCATTTCTGGAGAGGTGGAACTTCTGACATAAGTAAAATTCTTTTTCTGGTATTCCCTTGTGTTTCGTTCTCACATTGTGTGATGTCTTTAACTTTTCATGCAGCTGATGCTTCGATGCCACATGCAATCCCTGACCTCGAGGAATGGTTCAAGAAGTTGGTTGCGACCTTCTCGTATGATGAGCGCAAATGGCGTGACTTGTCGAGGGGTAAATGGGAGGCCAAACATCATGGTGAGTTTTCCTTCCAGGGTTTTGATATATTTTCTCCTATTTGTGATGCCACCTCACTCATGCTTATTTGTGCAGGCATAAGAGATGTCTCTGAAATGAGGCCAGCCTCGTCCAGGGAAGAGACTGAGTCCCCGATTCCGAAATCGGGGAAATATAACAAAAGAATGAGGGCTTCGAAGCCTGAAGATAGAAGCCCCTACTCGAAGGCTACGAAGGAGATTTGTTCATGCGGACGCAGATTCGGCCCACGATTCCCCAGATGATGAAGAAAATAATGGTGAAGAGTCGGCATTGATGCCTCGAACCAGGAAACCGATCGAGACCGCCAAGCCCTCCGAACTAGAGACCTCATCCCGTGGTGAGGGAATTTCAAAGAAGGACTCGGGCGAGGCCCCCATGTCCCAGGAGATTGATCGTTCCTCCACCTTCAACAAGTATACCGGAAGATGGGAGTGTGAAAACCCTCGAAGCCAATCAGAGCGCCCCGAGTGAAGAGCTCAAGGCTGTGACAACCGGTCACTCCCTTTCTCTTCCATCTTACTCCGAGGAGGCAATCGAAGATGCTAACGCTCTGTGTACGCTCAATCCGAGCAAGGTCCTCGAAGAAGTTCCCTTCTAGGGTTACTTTTCTAGGGTCGATGATGCCGCCGACCTTAACGATGAATCCACCCTATTCGAAGAGGCTCAACATCTCCTTTCTCGGGTAAATACTAACTTTCATTGTTGTAATTTTTTCTTTCTTCCCTTTCCTTTGACTGACATATCTTCATTTCATGTATAGGCCATCGTCAAGTTTAGAGCTGAGTTGAACCAATGTGTGGTAGAGCT